TTAAGGCCTAAGTATCTACTACAAAGCTACATGGAGCCTTTGGGCAAGTGGACGACCTCATCTCCAGACTCCTTACAAGCCAACATGCAAGAAGTATGCAGCAAGTTCAAAGCCCCGTAACTTGTAACCTTAAACCCCTATAAACCCCTATAAACCCCTATACACCCCTATAAACCCCTATAAACCCTAAACCCTAAACCCAAACCCTGTATAACTTATAACCCTCAAGCACTAGAGCCTTAGAGTTGTCGAATCCTGATAGAACCGCCTTGGTGCCCTTGTGGCTTTATGGAACGCCTCATGGAACTCCACGTTCGAAGCCTTCTAACACCATGGCACCCTGAACAGCTAATATAGGGGCCTAAATGATTACCGATACTATATATATATATATATAGTTTTTTATTTTCAATTTTTTTGGTTGGTTTGGGGGGGGGTGGTCCTTATTGTAATTATGCCATAATATATCCCAAAGCCCTACAACTATTAAGGCCCCCATATTATTGCACTCTGCGAGGTGTATCGACCGGATGGCATCCCGGTTGAGGTTTTGACATCCAGCCAGAGCCTCGTTTTGTTGCTACTGTTTAAGTGCTAGTAGTGTTGAGGGCTGAGAGTTTCAGTCGTGTTACTAGTTCGATGATAATTCGATGATAGGTGTTTATTGCTGTGTATGCTCATTGTTATGATTTTCAGTTTCTAGACGCGTGAGATGTAAAACCATAGCACCGTAAATCGCAGGCAGATACACAAGCCCGGACCACCCATCTCACAGTAGCAACAAGAATGAGAGACGGAATTATACATGGTAGCAACGACAATAACAACAGACATGGCATACCACCAATCATACTGCCAGCATAGACATGATCTAGGGGACAAGACTTCTGCGGCATTCGATGAACGAACTATGTCCAGGCTTGTTAGTTTAAGGCTTCTAGTTTAAATTCCAGGAGCGCATTGGCAATCCGCGCATTTGCAGAGGTGCATCAGCGCCTAGACGTTGTGCTAAGCCCTATACCCAAGATCGGCCCGGGATCCTGTACCAGCTGCCCAGAACCCTAAACCCTAAACCCTAAACCCTAAACCCCTAAACCCTAAACCCTAAACCGACAAAGTTGGGCTTGCGTGCACCCCGGTGACTGCAGCCATGCTGAAACCCGAGAGGATGCCATACTTTGCAAACTAAGCGCCTGCCGCCGGGAGCGCATTCATAGCGAGCTAGGTTTAGGGCCGTTTAGGGTTTAGGGTTTAGGGTTTAGGGTTATTCGTAGATCAAGCAAGTTTGTATCTATTGAGGCAGCTTTCGGCTGTCCAAATCTTTAACCCTAAACCCTAAAAACTAAGCCGATGCCCCACCTTACTCTTGACTCTTGACCACCTTTCCTGAGTCCCTGCAATGTGCGTTTTGCGTCCGATCCAGTTGCTTCGCCATAGAACAACCGAACATCATACATCAAACCACAACAATACAAAGATACCATACTGTAACACAACATAGTATACCACAACATCGTAGAACATCATAATACATCCGCCGGGATGGAGCTGGAAGAAGAGCTGGCGGAGGCGGGCACGAGGGTTTGGGATTGCGAAATTCTGAGCCCCTGTGCTTCCCACCAACTTTTCTCCCCGAAGACCCCGAGGTCGAGAGCTGTTGAAAACCAACCCCTCTGCCTCCCCTAAACCCGAAAACAAGGCCGAAACATGAAACCCGAACCCTAAATCTTAAACCCTTTCATGGATCCCAAACCCTCGAAAAAGCCCCAAGCATTAAACCCGAACCCTAAATCATAAACCCTAAAGCCTAAACCCTAAATCATAAACCCTAAACCCTAAACCCTAAATCATAAGCCCTAAACCTGAAACCATGGCTCTGCAGCTCTGCCAGGGCCAGGACGAGGATTCTGCAGGACCTGGGGTTTAGGGTTTAGGGTTTAGGGTTAGGGTTTAGGGTTTGGGGTTTGGGGTTTAGGGTTTAGGGTTTAGGGTTTAGGGTTTAAGGTTTAGGGTTTGCTTGCTTCACGCGGATGTTCAAGCGCTGTCGGGGCAAGGGGTTTGGGTTTAGGGGTTTAGGGTTTAGGGCTTCTTAGGAGTTTAGGGGTGTGGGGTTTGAGGCTTTTCTTCTGGACAGCCGGCAGACATACACTCCTGTGCAGCGTAAGGGTTCGAGGTACCCGAACGGCGGCAAAGCGTCCTCTGGTGTCAGACAGTCCTTAGATAACACCACAAACCATTGAATCCCGAAAACACACAACCAGGAACTCGGACTCGAAGCACTTCTACCCAGCTAAACCCTAAACCCTAAA